GGCCTCAACACCTCAGTGATCACGGTCCCCAACAGCATTAGGCAAATCTGCTGCACAAGACCTTTTTAAAGTGATGAAGAGCAAATATGTCAGCTTGAGGACTAAGGTGCACCTGACCCAAACCATAGTATTTTCAATAACCTCATGTGTATGTGAAAGCTGGACAGTGAATAAGGAAGACTGTAGAAGAATTAATGCTTTTGAGTTACGGTGTTGGAGGAGACTATTGAAAGTGCCATCGTCTGCCAAAAGAACCAATAGATCTATGTTAGAAGAAGTGCACCAGAGTGCTCCTTGGAGGTCAGGATGGCCAAACTTCATCTCTCATACTTCAGACATATTGTCAGGAGGGACCAGTTGCTGGAGAAAAATATTATATTTGGTAAGGTGGAGGGTCAGAGAAAAAGAGGAAGACCCTAGCGAGATGGAATGGTAAAATAGCAGCATCAGTGGGCTCAAGAATGGCAACAATTGTGAGATTGGCTCAGGACCGGGCAGTGTTTCGTTCTGTTCTGCATAGGGTCCCTATGAGTCGATACTGACTTGATGGCACCCAACAACAACTTTTACTTGTTAGGATGGCACAGGAATGAGCAGTGTTTGTCTTGTCATGTGATTCGGAACTGATTCAACCTAACAATGACAACAACAGCAATTCTCTGTGAAAACAAAAAGTGGATTTAAAAATCTGAAGATTCATTACCACTCATAGATGGTTAATGTGTTCAGCTGGTAGACAAAAGACTGGAGATTTGAACCTGCCCAGAGACGCCCTTAGGAAAAAGACCTGGAAATCTATTTCTTAAAAACGTATCAGCCGTTGTAGCACAGTTTTACCCTGAAACATACAGGTCACCATGAGTTGTAGTTGACTCTAAAACAAATTGAGAATTCATCGTGTGCAGCTTGTGATTGCTTTGTATAGGAAAAATATAGGGCAAATCATGATGTCTTTTTGTTGTTGTTATGTTTTCTTTCTTTCTTTATTAAATTGGTTTTAATAGTCTGTACCAAAATTAGATGCCATATATTAGACTCAATTTCTCATTTATTCAACTGATGACCTGCTTAGAATATGAAGAATGCTTCTTAAATCTCTCAGAGGTTCCTTTGATTCTGAGTTTTGTGAGATCTTTTGCTTTCTCTGCTCAATGACTCTGAGGTAATAATTCACAAGTATGTGAGCTATAGATTGGACACTTTCAGCATGCATGATGAGTGTATATGTCTACTGTGGTACTGGAAAAGATTTATATCCATGGACTAAACCTTGTAAAGTTGACTCTCAATTAATTGCATGATATTTATTACATGTATATTATCTATGAATTGTCCCTTTCAATCATACATTGTTAAACTTGGCGTCTCTCTCCCTTTTCCTCCAGTGCATCATCTCCTCATTCTACCATTTATTTCACAACATAGTAGGGGAAGAGGTGTTGGAAATAATTACCATGTGACTTCAATATCAAATAGAATAAACATAATTAGGAAAGAAAAGATGTTTTCAGTAGTCACAGTAAAAACTAAAATCAGGCATAGCTTTTGGTAACATTTGAACAACTACTTTCCTTCATTAGCATGGGGAATCTAGAGTTGACTAAATACTTATTTATCATGGGCATCAAAATACGTTGTTGTTAGGTGCTATTGAGTCCATTCTGACTCCTAGCAAGCCTATACACAACAGTCTGAAAAACTGCCTGATCCCGTACCGTCTTCATAATTGTTGTTATCCTTGAGTCCATTGCTGCTGCCATGGTGTCAGTCCACTGTTGAAGGTCTTCCACTTTTTCAAAGACCCTCCATTTTACCAAGCATAATGTCCTTCTGCAGGGATTGGCCTTTCCTGATAATATGTCCAAAGTATGAAAGACTGTACCTCTTCCAACATAGACCTCTATGTTTTCTTGGCGGTCCATGATACTTTAAATATTCTTCTCCAACACCATAAGTCAAATGCATCAATTCTTCTACAGTTTTTCTTATTCATTGTCCAACTTTAACATGCATATGAGGCTACTGAAAATACCATGGCTTGGGTTAGGCATATCTTAGTTCTCAAACTGACATCTTCATTTTAGAACACTTCAAAGAGGTCTTTTGCAGCAGACTTGCCTAATATGATATGTAGTTTGCTTTCCTAACTGCTCTTTCATGCATGTTGATTGTGAATCCAACCAAAATGATGTTTTTCTCAACTTCAGTCTTTTCTCCATTTATCATGATGCTGTGTCCAGTTTATTGGTCCAGTGGTGAGGATTTTTGTTTTCTTTACATTGAGGTGCAATCCATCCTGAAAGTTGTGTGGTCTTTGATCTTCATTAGTAAATATTCTAAGTCCTCTTTGCTTTCAGCTAGCAAGATTATATCATCTGCATATTGCACAGTATAGTCTGTCTTCCTCCAGTCTTAATGTCGTGTTCTTCTTCATGTAATCCAGCTTCTCAATCATTTGCTCAGCATACAGATTGAATGAATATGGTGAATGAATATAGTCTTGAACACATCTTCCCTGATTTTAAACCAATCAGTATCCACTTGTTGTGATGGAAAAACTGCCTCTTGGTCCATGTGCAGGTTCCTTATGAGCATAATCAAATGTTCCAAAATATCCATTCTTTGCAGTATTTGTTATGATCCACAAAGTGAAAAGCTTTGTCTAGTCAATAAAGCACAGGTAAGCATCTTTCTGGTATTCTCTGATTTCAGCCAAGCCCCATCTGATGTTAGCAATGATATCCCTAGTTCCACTTTCTATTCTTAATCCAGCTTGAGTTTCCAGCAGTTACCTGTCAATGCACTGTTACAACTGTTTTTGAATAATGTTAAGCACAATTTTCCTTGGATGTAGTATTAATGTTATTGTTTGATGATTTCTGATTTCTGTTGGTCACCTCTTTTTGGAATGAGTGGAAATATGGATCTCTTCTAATCAGGTGGCCAGGTAGCTGTCTTTCAAGTTTCTTGCCATAAATGAGTGAATGCCTTCACTGCTGCATTAGTAAGTTGAAAGATTTCAATTTGTATTCCACCAATTCTGGTTGCTTTTTGGTCAATACCTTCAGTGTAGCTTAGACATCTTCGTTCAGGACCATTAGTTTTTGGTCATATGTTACCTCTTAAAATAGTTGGACATTGATCATTTCTTTTTGATATAGTGACTCTGTATATAGCTTCTATCTTTTGTTTCCTTTTGCATCATTCAGTATTTTGCCCATAGAATCTTTAAATATTGTAAGTCAAGGTTTGGATTTTTTCTTGTACTTCCAGTTTGAGAAATGCTCAGCATGTCCTTCCTTTAACTCTAGTTCTTCACACATTTCATTATAACACTTGACTTTGTCTACTTGTGCTGCCCTTTGAAATTTTCTGTTCAGTTCTTTGACTTTCTCATTTCTCATTTACTTTAATAACCTCATATGCATGTGAAAGCTGGACAGTGAATAAGGAAGACCGTAGAAGAATTGATGCTTTTGAGTTATGGTGTTGAAGGAGAATATTGAAAGTGCCTGGGCTGCCAAAATAACCAACAGATCCGTATTGGAAGAAGTGCAGCTAGAGTGCTCCTTGGAGGCCAGGATGGCCAAACTTCATCTTTCATACTTTGGACGTATTGTCATGAGACAATGGAGAAGGATATCATGTTTGGTAAGGTGGAGGGTCAGAGAAAAAGAGGAAGATTCCCCCAATGAGATGGATTGGCCAAGTGGCAGCATCGATGGACTCAAGCATGGCAACTGTAGTGAGGTTGTCCCAGGATCAGGCAGTGTTTCTTTCTGCTGTGCATAAGGTCGCTATGAGTCGGTACCTACTAGATGGCACCTAACAACAACAACAAATTAGTATCTCTATGCAGAAGAGCAAGTTTCAGAGTCTCTTCTGACAACTATTTTGGACTTTTCCTTTTTCATAATCTTATACTTTCTTTCTGTATGACGTTACTGATGTCATCCCATAGATCTTGTCTTGGTTACTAGTGTCTAATGCATCAAATTTGTTCTTGAGATGCTCTCTAAATTCTGGTGGGTAAAAATGTGGTCGTGATTAATTTCAACAGTGTAACATGCAGCTTTGTTCAAATATTGTCTTATTCTAGACATAAAAGGAATAGTTGAATTTTTTTGTTTGGGAGCTTGAGGGTTTTTTTGTTTTTTGTTTTTTTAAGTTGATTTCATTTGTCTTCACCAACATTAGATGCCATATATTAAACTACAATTTTCCATTAATTCAACATCAAATTATAATTTAATTTTAGTACTCTTTTTTGATTAATGGTTTGAACTCAGCTATTTATAGGACTATTAAGTACTGCCATCTGTATGTCCATTACACCATTTTATTTAAAATTAATGTTTCTTTGTATATTAGCTGTTTGTTTCAAAGAAAATTGAATCGTATCAGGATTTTTGGATTTTTTATTAAAGAATAAGTTTTGAATAATAAGACTGCTTATCTGAGATTCCTTTATGAAAATAACATCTAGGGATATGAAAATAAAGCTTTTGGGGGTTCTTTAAAACAAGTGCCATGCTTGTATGGATGGCTGTGTTGTTTTTATTATGTTCATAAATGTAAGCACAATTCTTCTTGCTGACAAATATGTACAAAATCATTGAAATTAATGCCCATACTGAAGGATAATTTTTACAATAAAATTACACAAAGATCTTGTGTTGTTATAGTAGAAATCAAGTATAGTCTTAGTGTATAGCTTTAAAAATGTAATCTTCTTTCTGTGGAACTAAATTCAAATTATCAATAGGAAAGAATAATGTTTTGAAATAGTAGATTTTTTTATTCATAATTTTAAATTCAGGCAGATTCTTTTCCAAGTAGGTATTGCAATTTAAGCTCTTATGTCAAATTTAAGGTTTGTTGCATTTTGATAAATACTTGTTTTATGGTAAAGATTAATTTTAAGTAGTTTAATTACTTACAAATGTATAAATCAACATAAAGATTGTATTATTAATATAATTTTTAATATAACCTTTCAGAGCACAGAAGCCAATGTGAACATGAGAAAAAGGACAAATGCCTTGGTTCACTCTGAATCTGTTGTTGGTAACAGAACTGAGGTGGGAAACCATTTGAATAGATCTTCCACAGTTGTTCAAGGATCTTCTGGAACCACATCACAATCTTACTTAGCTTCCAGTCCAAATCCATTCAGCAGTGCAAATGCAGCAGAAACTATATCTGCTGCAAGAGCACTTCCATCCACGCCTTCTTCCACTCCTGCAGGGACTGGGCATTCGCCTCAGCAAGTATCAGCTGGATCTGCTTCTAGCCACCATGTGTTTGGATCAAGACTGGAGAGGATTAAGACAACAGTTAACACTGTAGGGGCTTCAGGAAAGCTGTCGGTCACTCCTCCTCCTCCTTCTGCTCCACCACCTTCTGGGTCTGGCACAAGTAAAATAGACAAATATGCCCGTATTCTCTTTCCAGTCACATTTGGGGCATTTAACATGGTGTATTGGGTTGTTTATTTATCCAAGGACACGATGGAGAAGACAGAAAGTCTAATGTAGTTTGGTTGCTTCAGTAATTTCCTAAAAGTTGATGAATTTAATGTGGTTGTCTTTTTAAATGTTTTTAAAGATAAACCATTATTCTTTTCTAAAATACTAATTCTCTGTAACTTTTCCATTTAATAAATGCAAGGTACTTACTGGAATCATTATATAATTATTCAGTGAAGTGAAAGCAAATCATCTTTCTTCTCAGAAAGTTGATTTAAGTAGAGTCTATGCAGCATTCAAAATAGATGGAATACAGACCATCCTGGAAAGTTAGAACAAGGGAAATAGGGCTATTAGAGATGCATGGCGCATATTTGTGTATTGCAAATTGAAAATAGACTGTGATCGTAAATATATATATAAAATGATTAAGAAGCAGCCAGTCTAAATTTTCTAGTGATCTTGTCTTTAACAAAGACTGTCTATCTAACATAGAGGTGAGGAATGTAAAGCCCGTGAAATCATTTGGTCTGGCCCTGTAAAGGTAACCACAGTCCCAGTCTTCACATTAGGGGTGAGTTAAGTAAATGGTTGACCAAATATAGCATGCTAATTTTTAAGTTGATAATTCTGTATGGCCTGTGAATTATGTTATAAATTCTGGCAGAGAAAAGGTTCCCCACCCCTGATCAAATAGTATATACAGTAGTCTTTGGAAATCCTCTTAGCCCTAGCCAGAAACGGGCTTTTTTCTCTTAAATAACACATCAGTTAACAACAACAACAACAAAAATAATGGGAAAAACAAACACTAACCAATTGACTGAAAACTCTGATGAATGAAAAAGCAAAAATATGGCCCAGGGAAAAATGTGGGTTTTTTTTTCATATGTTGGCCAAAAAGTACTTAGCAATTATCTAGAAAATTTTGTTGTGTTGTGAGACAATGTTTAATTCATTGTGTGAATTCTTTTTTTAGTAGTTCACTCAATTATGTTTTCATTCAACACATATGAGGGCTTGGTGATACAATGATTAAGCACTCAGCTGCTAACTGAAAGGTCAGTGGTTCTAACCCACCAGCCACTCTGTGGAAGAAAGAACTAGTGATCTGCCTCTGTAAAGAGTGTAGCCTTGGAAACTCTATAGACAGTTTAACTGTCCTGGTGTGGTACTGTAGGATAAGCACTGAATTGCTAAGCACAAGGTTTGAGGTTTAAACCCATGAGTCACTCCTTAGAAACCCTATGTAGGGTAGCTATGTGACTGAATGGCACTTGACAACAACAACAACAGGATCATTATGAATTGAAAGTGGCCCACATCTGTGTTCCAGACAATACTCAAGCCCCTGTTAATTTACAAAAGTTTTCACCTTTGTTTACCACAAAAAAACAAAGCCACGGTTTTCAAGTCGACTCCAACTCATAGCAACTCTGTTGTTGTTGTTGTTATGTGCCATGGAGTCGGTTCCGACTCATAGTGACCCTGTACAGGGTTTCCGAGGCTGTAAATCTTTATAGAAGCAGAAAGCCTCATCTTTCTCCCGCGGAACAGCTGGTAGTTTCGAACTGCTGACCCTGAGGTTCGCAGCCCAATTTGTAACCACTACGCTACCAGAGCTTCTATAGCAACTCTGTAGGACAGAGTAAAATTACTCCATGGGGTATCTGAGACTGTAAATCTTCACAAGAGCAGGTAGTCTCATCATTCCCCTGCAGAGCAGATGATGAATTTGAACCACCGACCTTGTGGTTAGTAGCCCAATAGTAAAACAATCAATTCATGCTAAGGAATTAGAAATTAGAAAAGGTCTTTGCTTTCTTTAATAAAGGATATTTTAGAGTCTAATATCCTGTGTGACAGGAGAGCTGGTATAATTGATTCTGTAGCACCCATTGAAGTAAGTAAGCATTTGTGCATTTTCAGCAATTGGCTTTCAATACACAATGAAAATGTGCTACAGATTGTTCTGTACATGAAAAACAACATGCAAGTGCAAATAAAAATCTGGATACCATAAGTCTTGACAAATTGCCTGTCTCAATTTGTTCAGAACAGGAACTTTTAGAGGCTTTTCCCAATATCTACATTAGCCTGTGAGATACTGACCTTCTGGGAAGTTTTTGTGTCCATAGTTTTGTATTTCCAGTCATTTTTACATTTGTTTTTCTTGGAGTTTTGTCAGGTTTCATAACTATGGTGAGTATTTTTAAATTAAAGGAGTAGCAAAACACAGTGAAGAAAAAATCACAGCCAAGGGGCAGTGTGCTTCTGATTCTATTATGCAATTTATAAGGATTTTCATGTAGCGACTTTTCTTTTTTATTAGGTAGACTTAACAACTTAATTGAATTCCTTGCAGCTGTTTCATGCAGCTCTATCCAGGTCTGATTTTTATGTTTTTTCTAGATTTTTCTTTTATGCTTCTCTCTGCCTTGTTTGAGGGAGTTCTGGTATGACACTGTAGAATAAGCACTGGACTGTTAATCATATGGCTGGTGCTTCAAACCTACCAGCTGCTCCTTGGAAACCTTATACAGGGTGGCTGTGAGTGGGAATCCACTTGATGGCATTTAACAACAATAACCTGGCCTGGGGTTGTGTATGTGAATGTTTTCTGAGTGTTTGGGGGAAGATCATCTTAGTAATGGCCACCTTGCAAAGAGGATTTCTTAATTTTTTAAGAGAACTAATAGTCATTAATTGACATTGACTTCATCAGTTGTTGCATTGCTTTGGGATGGTTGTGTATGAGATTTGCAGAATATAAGAATGCCAAATACTAACTGTGTCATATATGAGAATTTCTTCTTATCTATGTCTCTAGGTATTCCATAGACTCAACACATTTTAAAGGTGAATAATACTTTAGAAACATTCAGTCTAAACCTCTCACTTACAAATTGTGGCAGAGAATTTGTATATACGTATGTATTTAATAAAGAGTACTTGTACCACAAAGATTATCATAAATTATTTCATTATTGTGAATAGGTTTTGGGCCATGAGGATAATGGTTGTAAGCTAAGTTTATTTTTATGACTGTATATCAGTGAGATGGCCTTATTCCTGTGGTGAAGAACACTTATCACTTGCTTAACTAATGGTGTACTCTTAAGAGATATCCCATTGACTTTAAAAAAACAAACACTATTCTTCTATAATACTTACAGATGTTAAAGGGATAAAAGGAAGTAAATTTAGATTTTAAACCAAAGATCTAGATAGACTCATATTTTTCTTACCTTTATATGTATCTGAAGAAAATTTTTTTAAAAATCAGGTAGGCAAACGAACATAAAGCAAAAAAATTAACCAAGCATTATTAATTGTTGATTTGACCAGAAAGTTTAACCATTAAATAAAAAGGACCTATTTCATTTGTACGTAGTGTTAATTACATTAATGTTTGGCTTGTTTTCCCCAAATTAATTACATCAAATTAATTCATGAATAACTTATTAATTTGGTCATCATTTCTATCTTCCCTGAAATTCAGAGGGAATTATTATTAAGTAATTTTATTTAATTAATATTAAGTAAAATACTTTTATGATGAACTCGTCAGTTTTTCACCATGAGAGAACCTCATAAGAGTAATTGTTGTTGTTTTTATATGCCATGGAATCAGTTCCGACTCATAGCAACCCTGTACAGGGTTTCCGAGGCTATACATCTTTACGGGAGCCCAAAGCCTCATCTTTCTCCAGTGGAACAGCTGGTAGTTTCGAACTGCTGACCTTGCGGTTGGCAGCCCGATTCGTAACCACTATGCTACCAGAACTCCTTTATAAGAGTAATTATGATAGTTCAAAGTCCTAGTAATATATGAAATAGAAATGATCTATTGTGTGTCTCAGAGTCCTGGTGTGGCGCTTAGGTTCAGCGCTACACTGCTAACCACAAGGTCAGTGATTCAAACCAACCAGCTGCTCTTTAGAAACCCTGTACAGGGTTTCTATGAGTCAGAACTGACTTGATGGCAGTAAAAGGCAACAACATTGTATGTCTCTGTCTCTTACAGAGGAAATACAGAATTGTTGTATTTCATACCAATATCTATATGCTCTTTCAATTCAAGCTAGCCACTAACTGCTACATAATTACTTTCAATTTCCTCCAGGCATTAATAGGTATAATAATATGTTTACATGATTAATTCACAGTTAAAAATGCCTTGCATCTGTGCATTTACATAGTACTTGGAACGATGTATCTTTTAAAATGGACTTCATGAGTCTTGAATTAGAGTAGGCAGAGAACAGATGAAAATGAGTCAGAGAGGTTTTAAGACACACTGCCATTGAATAGCTTCAGACTCATAGTTGCTGTTGTCAGGTGCCATCGAGTCAGAACCGACTCATAGTAACCCCATGCACAGCAGAACAAAACAATGTCCGATCCTGGGCCAACCTCACTACCGCTGCCACACTTGAGTCCATCAATGATGCCACCTG